ATGCAAAGTTAGTTGCGTTTCACGTTGTGTGTTTGTGTGCGTGTTTTGTTTTTTCGTTTTTGTTTTCTTTTCTGTGGGCCCTCACGACCACAAAAAAAAAAGAAAAAAAACGGGAAGTGAGCGAGAAAGCGAGGCCGCGACACACTTCACGGGGTGCGCGCCGCCCTCCTGCTTTACTTCGCGCCGCCGCCCTCAGCGAAAGAGCCGCAACGCTCGGAGGTCCCATCCACCCCCGAGTGGAAGGAAGCAGGGGAGGCAGTGCGAACAGACTGGAAGAAAAAAAGAAAAACACACACAACTGGACGGCGTGAGCGGCGCAAGGCAGCCTACCGACTGACACATCCACTCAACCTCCTGCACCGAGGCCCGTTCACGGCGGCTCACCACACGCCGGCACCCACGGCGCAAAGGACACAAATACGCAGACGGTAATAAGTATTCTCTTATGTCTACGCCCGCAAGCGCCTTCTGCCGTCACTGCACCGTCATTCTTCCCTTTTGTTATTCGTTGATTCTTCTTGTTTGATAACGTTCTCTTCTTCTTTTTTTTGTGTATGTGCGTTTGATTTCTTTCATTTTGCCTTGGCCCCGGCTGCTACTTCTCCCACTTCATCTCTTTTTGCCTCCCGATGTGTCCGTGCGTGCCCCCTCCGTCCGCCTGCTCCCGCTGTGCTTGGTGTTTTTCCCCCCATAGTTTTTCTATCGCTGCGTACGCGTACGGCAGAAGAGAAGCGTGGGGGCCCACGCCACTGCCCCGATCCCTCACCAAAGGCACAGCATCCTTAAAGAGATACATACATATATACATATATACATATATGTACAGCCAGGGGTTTCTGTATGTACTCCAAGGCAGCAGGCGAGACGTGCAAGCTAGAAAAAACAATGATCATTGCAGCAAAACAGCTACCGCAGTTATTTTTTTGATTGATTGTTGGTTTTTTTTCTGCCCTGTTGTGTAGGTGTTATGCGTACGTGCGCGCGTGCGTGCACCGGCCGACTTTTTTCCCCATGTGCATTCACGTCAACGTCCCCCCGTCGCGTAAGAACGAGGCATTTCCACCACGCCGCAGTGCGTCCCCCACACAGGGGCACGGCAACTAAACCGTTTGGCGCACGGCTGCCCAGACGACGGTGGAAGCAGAAAAACAGTGGCAATGCACGTAACCAACTCGGTGGCGCCTCCCTGTCCCTCTCCAGACACGCACACACAGAGAGAGGGAGAGCGGGGGTGGGATGGATAGGGGGAGAAAGAAGAGAAATAATTATTTCCTACAGGTCACCCGTGTGCAAAAAAAAAAATGCAGACGCTGCGTGTACGTCATCCACTCCTCTGTACAAGTACACATATGGCCGCTTTAAAGTGTTTAATGGTGAGATGTTTCTACCTCGGCGGGTGCGGCTTTCACCGCAGCGTCGAGGTGGTCGGGTGCATGCGGGGCCTCCTGCGGTGTAGAGGGCTGGAGTTTTGTGAAGGGCTGCTCATGGGCGTCGTTGACCGCAGCGTCGAAGTGGTCGGGTGCATGCGGGGTCCCCCGCGCCTCGGGGGGCTGGAGTTTTGTCAGAGGCTGCTCATGGGCGTCGTTGACCGCAGCGTCGAAGTGGTCGGGTGCATGC